AGAGAGAGAGAGAGAGAGAGAGAGAGAGAAAGAGAGAGAGAGAGAGAGAGGGGGAGAGAGAGAGAGGGGGGGGGGGAAGAGAGAGAGAGAGAGAGAGAGAGAGAGAGAGAGAGAGAGAGAGAGAGAGAGAGAGAGAGAGAGAGAGAGAGAGAGAGAGAGAGGGAGGGAGGGTTGGGCGGGGTAGTCCTTAGTTGGGAGAGAGGGAGAGGGAGAGGGAGAGAGTTAGTATGAATGGGGTAGATCAGAGATAAGTGAGAGAGATAGAGAGAGAAAGAGAGAGAGAGAGAGAGAGAGAGAGAGAGAGAGAGAGAGAGAGAGAGAGAGAGAGGACGAGGGAGAGGGTAGATAGATGCTGGGAGAAGGGGGGCGATGAGGGTAGGGGAGGGCAGGGGTTGGGGGGGGTTGGGGGGGGGACCACTCGTGCACCGATGGCCGCACGGATGAAAAGGGGAAAATAAAGACGTGTAAAATACTTTGTCGGGGTGAATCGGTCAGACAAATGGGGAGAGAGAGAGAGAGAGAGAGAGAGAGAGAGAGAGAGAGAGAGAGAGAGAGAGAGAGAGAGAGAGAGAGAGAGAGAGAGGGAGGGGGGGCAAGGTAAGCGAATAGTGAGAGGGTAGAGGAGAGGAGAGGAAGAGATATGAAGAGAAAGAGAGAAAACTGAGGCGAGAAGAGACAAAAAAAAAACGAGAACAGGAAAATGAGAAGATGAAATACGAAAAAAAAGATAAAGAGAAAGAGAAAGAAAGAAAGAGAGCTAGAAAGAAAAAGAAAAAAATGGCGAGGGTATAAGGATAATATCATCTGTTTGATATCTGTCTGTATCTATTGGAGTGGGATTTTGTATCGTAATTGAATGAGGGGAAAACGGAAGCCGCGCGTGACACTTAAAAAAAAAGAAATAAATAAAAAAAAATAAAACAATTCATATACTACTTGTCCATGTGGCGCTATAGAGGGTTTCGGGAGAGGCGGTGCGCGCGCGAGCAGATTTTCCGACAGCGTTGTCACGATTGAATGGGACTTGAGTTACGCGGAGCGGAGGGGTGGATGATAAAGCTTTTAGGAGAGTTTTCCCTTTAACTTGTTTTTCCCGTTTTCTTGTTTTCTCTTTTTTTTTTTTGTTTTTTTGTTTTTTGGAAGAAACGGTTGAAGGTATGAGACCAGTTGGTAAGAGCAGATGCGTTTGTATGCACGGATACGTACATGTATATGCACACGCATATGCACACGCGTATATACGCTCACGCATATACACGCACACGCATATACACGCACACGCATATACACGCACACGCATATACACGCACACGCATATACACGCACACGCATATACACGCACACGCATATACACGCACACGCATATACACGCACACGCATATACACGTACACGCATATACACGTACACGCATATACACGCACACGCATACACACACACACACACACACACACACACACACACACACACACACACACACACACACACACACACACACACACTCAAGCGTACACACAAGTCCTTTTTTCTTTACCTTTGACAAATGGTTCTTCTTCAGCTGTCTGCTTCCATCTTTAGCGCTCTCTTATGCACGCTTTATCACCTTTCCCCTTTCGCCACGCCCTTCGACTGTTCATTTATCGCCCTTTCTTTGTTATCCTCGTTCTTCCTCCCTCGCCTTTTCTTCTCTCCTTCATAATCGTTTCCTTCCCCTCGTCAGATTTTTTTTATTATTATTATCTTTCCCTTTCTCTCTCATTCTCTCTTCTGTTCGCTTTATCATTCGCGTCACACCCTCTTTTCGTTCGCGCTTTGCTCCTCCTCCTCCTATTCCTTCTCTCCTCCCTCCTCCTTCTCTTGTTCCTCCCCTTCCTTCTCCTTCTCTTCCTCTTCTTCTTAATCCTCCTTCTCCTCTTCCTCCTCTTCTTCCTCTACCTCCTCCTCTTCCTCATACTCCTCCTCTTCTTCCTCATACTCCTCCTCATCATCATTATCATCTTCCTCCTCCTCCTCTTCCTCTTCCTCTTCCTTTTCATCCTCCTCCTCTTCCTCTTCATCTTCATCCTCCTCCTCTCCTTCCTCCCCTTCCTCCTCCTCTTCTATTCAAAAATATAATGAAGGCTGGAGTGGAAATGGAGACAATAACGTGGGTTTTGCAGCTGTTGCGGGGGACAGTGGTCAGGCATCATTCTCTATTCTCTTCTCTCTTTCCTTACCTCCTCTTCCTTTTATTCACTTCTCTCTCCCTACTTCTCCCTCTTCTCCCTTTCCTCCCCCCACGCTCTTCCTCCTATTTCCTCGACTCCTCCCCTTCACATCCTCTTCCATCCCCTGCTTCCCCCCTCTTCTCCCTCTCCTCTCCCTGCTTGTCCTGCATTCTTTCTCTGCTTCCCTCTACCTCCTTCCTGTTTGTCCTCCCTCCCCCTTCCCTTACTTACCCATTCGCATGTGTTTCTCATTCCTTCCTGTTATCTTTCCTTTCTCTACTTCTTCCTGCTTGCTTTCTGCTTCCTTCTTGCATGTCCTGCATTGCTCTTATCCCCTCTTCCTCTTATCTTCCAACTCCTTACCCTTTCCTCATCCGACCCCCTTCCCCCCCCCTCCCAATTCTTCCAAACCTTTGCCCCCACCCTTCCCTCTTCCCCAAATCCTTTCCCCATTGCTCCTCCCCATCTTTATCTTCATTTCTTTCCCCATTCCCTCTCTCCCCCATCCCTCTCCCCTTCCTAATCCTCCCCCAATCCCTCTCCCTTTCCTCCTCCTTCCCCAATCCCTCTCCCTTCCTCCTCCCCTTCTTCCTCTCCCCTTCCCCCCCCCCCCCTATGCGTTAACCCGGGTCGAGAATCTCCCTTTGCTGATGGCAGGTATAAACAAGGCTTTTGTCCTCGAGATGGAACGAGACAAAGCGTCCCTCTCGCTCGCTGGTTGTCTCTCTGTGGAGATGGTGGTGGTGTGGTGAGGGGGGTGGTGGTGGTGAGGGCGGTAAAGGTGGTGGTGGTGAGGGCGGTGGTGTGAGGGGGGTGGTGGTAAGGGTGGTGGTGGTGGTAAAGGTGGTGATGAGGGCGGTGGTGGTGGTGAGGGTAAGGGCGGTGGTTGATGGAGATGTTAGTGTTGATGGAGGTGATTGATGGTGAAGGTGGTGATGGATGGAGGAGACGATGGAGGTAGGGATTGATGGAGAAGGTGGTGACTGACGCTAGGGTTAATGGTGGTGATTGACGGCGTCATTTGCATTTGGAAGGGGGGGGGGGGTGATGACGTGGCGATGAACTGAAGAAATTTGGGTTTGGTGGCTTGTTTGACTCGTGTGTGCGTATGCACACATGCACATGCACGCGCGCGCGTGCATGTGCATGTGTGTGTGTCTGTGTGCGTGTGCTGCGTAATGTGTATGTGTGTGTGTGTGTGTGTGTGTGTGTGTGTGTGTGTGTGTGTGTATGTGTGTGTGTGTGTGTGTGTGTGTGTGTGTGTGTGTGTGAAGGAAGGGAGGAAAGAAATGGGCGAGCGAGAAAGAAAAAGAAAGAAAGAATGAAATAGAAATAAAAGAAGAGAAAGCAAGAAAAGAAAAGAGAAAACGAAGAAAGCAAGAGAGTGAAAGAAAGAAAAGAAAAGAATCAGGGTTCGTCCTCAATTCGTTCGCGTCCGTCCGTCCGAGTGTCTTGAGTGTTATCGCGTGTCTTTGTGTCTGTCATTGTGTCTGTCTGTCACCGCTCGATAGATGCTTTAGCCCCAGGGGTTCTCTCATCAGCTCAGAGCCGACGCTTTTGTGAACGACAGACGCTGATAACAAGAACGGTTTGATTGTCGATGAAAAGGGAGAAATCAACGAGAGAATAGAATTGATCCCAAGCTATGAAACCGTCGGATTTGGGTTTTTATTTATATCTTTTATATCATATCTCTATCCCTTTTCTTTTCTTTTTTTTCTGTATACGTTAGATCATTGGAAATAAGTGTGTGGGAGGGGGGGAAGTGAAACCGCTATGAAACCGTCGTATTTGGGTTTTTATTTGTATCTTATATATCTCTATCCTTTTCTTTTTTTGTGTATACGTTAGATAATTGGAAATATGTGTCGGGGGGGGAGTGTATAAAAAGATCTAGCGAAGGTTATGAAGCGGACGTAACCCTGGAGGCGAAGGACCGGCGTCGGAACGCAAGTCTCGCGGAAGGAATTACCTGTAGGTTTGTTGTCATTGTTGTGACATTGGACACACCTGGTGCCTGATGGGAAGCATTGTCCTCGGGGATTGGGGAGGGGAGGGGAGAGGAGGGGAGAGGAGGGGAGGAGGAGGCGAAGGGAAGGGGAGGTGAGGGGAGGTAAGGGGAGGGGAAGGAGGAGGATATGGGGGGGAAGTGTTGAAAAGAAGGGGGACGGGAGGGGGGGAAGGGGACGGATCAAGCTAACGACCGTCACAGCTGCAGTTTTGTTTGCAGCCCCATTGCATTTTGCAACGCCAACGACGTTCCAAGGCCCTCGGTGACGGACCCCGCGTGTTTTTCCGCGAGGTCACAGACTTTGCAGAAGCCGAGGTTTTAGCACACTTACGTCGCCCGGGATGATGTACTGTTATCGGGTACTCTTGGCTTGTCGCGGCGGGTCGTGGCGAGGCATCTGCCGCGGGCCTTGGGAGCGTGGCACCGCGGCGCCCTGCGTCATGTGGCTCCTTTGACGCCGTGTCGCCACTGCGTGCCTCTCGCCTCGCCGCTGGGATTAGTGCCCCGCGCCCAGGCACCCCGCGATGACATGGTGCCTACGCTAAAGCCATATTGGTGGAGGGGAGGGGCAGGAGGAGGGGCGAATGGAAGGGGGGAGAGGGGAGGGGAGGGGTGGGGGAAGGGCTTTGACAGCAGTACTCAAGTACAGGGACGCGGCCACACTCGCACCGCATATACATGACACAAGTTACGAGCGGATGAATATATATCTAACATTTCGTAAGCCTATGTTTATGATTTCTTTTTTTATTCTCATCTCGCCCTCTCTCTCTCTCCTTCGCAGTGGACGGCTCGTGGTCAACGTGGTCGTCGTGGTCGTCGTGCAGCAACCGATGCGGCCGCGGCGTGCAACGTCGGACTCGCACATGCTCCGCCCCGGCGCCCATGCACGGCGGCGCGGCGTGCATCGGAACCGCCGTGCAGAAGGCCGACTGCTCCCACTTGTGCCCTGGTAAGTAGTCCCCGGCGCGCCCACTGCCCACCGCCCACCGCCCGCCCGCCCGCCCGCGCCTCCTTCGCGTGGGAAAGAGGAGGCGCCGCACGGGACAAGTATATCTCTAGTTCTAGATTTGTTGCACATCTTGATGAGGATATGTTGTTGTTCTTGTTGTTGTTGTTTTTTGACTAAGGAGAACGTGGTCCAGACCGGAATTTTATAATAGCCCACGACTGTAGATTTGTCCCCCCACCCCCCACTGATTAAAAAAAAATGCAAGTGTTCCCCCCCCACATCTATTCTCCCATATAGCCCCCCCCCCCATTAGAGGACACTAACTTTGCCGTGTCTATTTGGTCTACTTGTCTCATGTTGCTGTTGTTTCGCTCGCTTCCAAATGAGCTATTTTGTGTAGCTTCACCCCCCCCCCCATACTCCCTTCACCCCCCCTCTTTAACGTTTGTCTGACGTCAATCCCCCCCCCCCCATTAATGTTTTATTAATCAGTAGAAGAAAAGGTTTCAAAATCCCTCCCCTCCCCTCCCCTACTAGGGTCGTCCCCCCCCTATGCCCCTCTTCGTATTGCTATGCCTAAAACGTTCTTATTAGCACCCCCCATTCCCCCTTTTTAACAGTCCCCCCTTCTAAAAAAAAAAAAAAAAAAAAAAGTTGAAAAGTATTAATAGAAAAATTAACTAACCCCCCACGAGAAGTCGAACTCCCCCCCCCCCCCCCCGCCCCACGCAAGTCTCTCTCTCCCCCAACCCCCCCAGGAGCCCCCCCTCCCCCCCAAAACAACCATAACCATCATCTTTAGTCGTCCGTGTGTCACCCCGTCGTCCGTACTAACCCGTCCGTATTTCTTACTCCCCTCCCCCCCCGCCCCACGCCACCTCCCTACTCGTGCCCGCCGCCGCCCCAGCAGGAGGTGACTGTCAGGATGAGCCGTGTGAGGAGGGTGAGTTCCTACAAGGCCTTTGTGAGCCGTATTGCTGCTTCCCTCTCAGTCCCTCAAGTTAACCACACGTAGAGCGAGCCACATGCCAACACCCCACCCCTCTTTAGATTTTCTTCAGTCACGCCTCAAATATGAGTTTTTTCTCTCTCCGTTTTCTGTTATCACGTTTTTTTTTCGGGAATGCTGTTTCACTTTTCTATTGTATTTTTTTTTTTTTTTTATTAATTGTACAAAAACAAATCAGTGCACATAATGTAGTGCTTGTTCTCTCTTGTTTTTTTCTCTCTTTTTTTTTTTTATTTATTGTCACATATTTTTACTGTGAACTTTTTTTTTTTTTTTTTTTTTTTATTCCACGGCCGATTTTGTGTATATATATTGAACTGTCCCACGGCTTGTATTGACAAACCAACAACGATATTTTTTCAGTCATTTAATGTATCCTCCCCCCCCCCTCCCCCCCACTCTCTTTCTCTTTTTTATGCCAAATTTTCCGTAATAAATCTTAAAAAAAAAAAATCCACGTATTTATCACCCCTTTTCACACAAACGCTCCACATAGGCCTATAGTATGCACCTGTTATACTGTCTTTATATGTGCACCTTTCGCCCCCCCCTCCCCTCCCCTCCCCAAGCCCCCTCCATCAGCCGCCCCCCCCCTCCCTCTCTCCCTCCGCCCCCCCCCACTTCCCTCCTCTTCATCGTTATTCTGGTTTCTGCTTTCCCTCCCTTTTTATCTCGGTCTGTGCTTCTCATGTTTCTCCGTCTGCGTTTCTTGCTGCGTTTCTCCTTCTGTTTCAACTGAAGCTGTAAAAAAAAAAAAATCCTCTTTGTTAGTGTGTCTCTCTGTATCTCCTCCGTGGCGAGTGTCTGTCTGTCTGTCTGTCTGTCTGTCTCTTATATTCGGTACTTTGCAATTTTCTTCCCATTGTTTCTCGTCTGCCGATAGTTAGTGGAGTAAATTATCGACGATTTTTTACTCCTGTCCTCCAGTGTCTTCCTTTCCTTCTCCTCGTTTCCCTTCCATCTCCTTTTCCTTCTCCTTTGCTTCCTTACTTCTCTTCCTCTTCTTTCCTCTCTTCGTTTCTCTTTCTTTTCCTTCCTCCTTTCTCTTTCCCATCCCACCACCTCTCCCGATTTTTTTTCCCTTCCCTTCGCCACTCCTTTCCCTTCTTCTCCTCCCCCCCCTTTCCCCCTTGTTCTTCCTCTTCCCTCCCTTTTTCCCCTTCCCTCCTATTTCCCTCCTTCCCATCCTCCCCTTGGAGTCTCTGTCTGCCAAATCGTGTCTTCGGAGGCGCTGTGTAGGAGTCACTCCTACCGCGTCCTATCTCCCCCCCCTTCCCCTTCTCCCCCTTCCCCTTCTCCCCCTTCCCCTTCTCCTCCTTCCCCTTCTCCTCCTTCCTCCTCCTCCTCCTCCTCCTCCTCCTCCTCCTCCTCTTCCTCTTCCTCTTCCTTTTCCTCTTCTTCACCCTCTTCCTCCTCCTCTTCCTTTTCCTCTTCCTCCCTCTCTTCCTCCTTCTCCTCTTCCTCTTCTTCTTCCTATTTCTCCTTCCCTTTCCCATCCTCCTCTTCCCCTTCTCCTCCCTATCCTTCATCCATCTATCTTTCCCGGTCCCTTCTCACCCTTTCCTCCCCCCCCCCCCCCCGTTCCATTTCCCTTATCGTTGTATACACAACACACTCTTCAGGGACGAAAAAGAAAAAGAAAAAAAAAGAAAAAAAAGAAAAAAATGCATGTTACTGCTCAGTAGAACCACACATTCTCTCTCTCTTTCTCTTTCTCTTTCTCTCTCTCCCTTTCTCTCTTTCTCTCTCCATTTCTCCCTCTCTCTCCATTTCTCCCTCTCTCTCTTCATTTTTCTCTCCTCTCTCTCTCTCTCTCTCTCTCTCTCTCTCTCTCTCTCTCCCTCCCTCCCCCTTTCACCCCCTCTGATAAATAGCGTTAAAAAAAGGTTTTCCTCACTGCCTCCTGTAGTGTTAGCTAGTTAGTTCTGCACCCTTATATCCACCATGCCTAAAGTTGTTTTTTGCGTGTCTGTGTGTGTGTTTTTTGCGTGGTTGTGTGTACGTGTGTGTGTATGTGTGTGTGTGTGTATGTGTTTTTGTGCGTTTACCATATTTGTGAGATTGCTTGTATCTACATATTTTTCTCCATGTAGTGTTGATTTTGTTTTCGTGTTGAATTCATTTTTTTTTTTTTTTTTTTTTTTAATATGCACCGCTAATTAACATTCATTTCAGGACCTTGTGTATAATTAATTACGAATCTAATATTCAGGAGAGAAGGTCAAATCAGCGGGTGGTTATTATTTTTTTTTCTTTTTTTTTCGAGTTAATCAGCAACATCGGATTACAGAAAGAAGGCCCCCCCCCCCCGGGTAGATACGTCGGGGACCTCCCTCCCCCCGCCCCCTCTGCCAACATACCCCCTCCTACCCCATGGAGAAACACATCTCTTCCCCCGCCTCCCCCCTCCCCCCCTTTGCTAAATAGCATGGGGGGGGGGGGAAGGAGGGGATTGGGTGTATAGGAATTGTCAGTGGTTTAAAAAAAAGAAAAGAAAAAAATCCTTTATGGGAAAAAAATGGATTTTGAGTTATTTTTTTTAATGTGGAGATTTGAGGAGTTAGATGAACGTTGAAGACATTATATAAATAATCGAATAAGGATTTTTTGTTGTTGTTGTTGTTGTGGGAATGTGTAATCGCCATGCAACAGAAAAAATATAAATGTTTTTTTTTTCTTAGCTTAGTAAATCTAAAAAAAATAGAAACGAGACATTTTCGGGATATTTAAGGCAAGAAACCCATATATTTTTAAGATATTTAAAATTAGATTTAGAATTAAAATTAGAATTAAACCAACGGGCCATCATCATCCCCTCCCGAACCTCATCTGAATAAAAACGTAAAAGAAAAAAAAAGATGAAAAGTTTAATAACAATTTGACAATCGGGAAATTTGATGGAAAGGGAAGCCAAGAACAGGGGGATTCGAACACAGGCTGGAGAAAGACCCCGGATGCAGTTCTTGTTTACGTTCTCTCCTCTCTTTCTCTTGTTTTCTTCCTTCTCTGTCTCTTTTGTGGTTTTGAGTGAGATTTTTGGATTTTTTTTTTTGTATAGTCTGTTGTTACAATTATATTATTATTAATGTTATTATTATTGTTATTGTTATTATAATGATCATTGTTATTATTACTATTATTATTATTATTGTTATCATCAGCATCACTGCTCTTATTATTATAATTATCATTGTTGTTGTTATTATTAGTATTATTGTGATTATTATCATTCTTATTATCTTTACATCATTATATATATATATATATATATATATATATATATATATATATTATATATATATATATATATATATATATATATATATATATATATATATATATATATATATATGTATGTATGTATGTATGTATATATATATACATATATATATATATTTATATGTATGTATGTATATATATATACATATACATATACATATACACATATATATATGATATGTGTATAGTTTTGCAATATCTGTCTCTTAAATCATCACCATCATCATTGCATCGCCATTCCTTGCAAGATTTTTGTCTCGCATCTTCCCTTTTTCGCTTTCGTCACCTGCATTCACTTCCCTGTTTTGGAATATGATGACACATGTTTTCCCACACTTCGCTTTTCCCACACTTGCATTCTGCACCGCTTCCCACGCCCTTTCTCTCTCGTTTTCTCTTTATTTTATTTTCTTTTTTTTGTCTTTATCTATCTGTCGATTTTTTCGATCTTTCTGTTTTGTTTTGTTTTTTGTTTTTTTGTTTTTTCACTCTCCTTTACTGTCAAAGATTTATCATCTCTCCTTCATTCTTTCTTTCTTTCTTTCTCTCATTTCTTTCTTTTCTTTCCTCCGATTTGCATATCCCTCTCGTTACACACAGCACTTCGCACACCCTCACCAACCCCACCCGCCCACACCAACCACCTCACGCCCACCAACTCACGCCCACACGCCCTTACCCCCCTCTCTAAAAAAAACCCCACAACATGAAAGCACAACCACACCCCCTGACGCACGCGGTGGTCCCCCCTCCTCCCCCCAGCCGTGGACGGGTCGTGGGCGTCGTGGTCGTCGTGGTCCACGTGCGGGCCCGACTGTCGTCACCACCGGCAGCGGGCGTGCTCGGCGCCCCCCCCTCAGCACGGCGGACGGTACTGCACGGGCGAGGACTTCTACTCGAGCAATTGCACCGGCGGCATGTGTCGCAGTGAGTATTCGAGGGGCCGCGCCTCCTTTCTCGCCAGTAAAGGTCCTTTCTTTGACAGCAGTGCCGGCACATTCTGGCACTGTTTGTGGGGGAGGGAGGGAGGGAGCATGTTTTGCCAGGGGAGTGCCACGGGTGGAAGGGGTGGGGGGGTCACTCAGCGAGAAGCATGTGTGTCCTCGTCTCTTTTTAAAAGGGCACTGTCGGCACTGGCACTGTTTGTGGGAGTATGTCTTGTCTCTGTCAGGGCATTGCCGTGGCTAGGTCACTCACCAATAGCATGTCCGTCCGTCGGAATAGTGCCACTATTCCCTGGCACTGTTTGTGGGAGCATGTTTTTGTCTGTTGGGGTAGTGCCCTGTCTATCACTCACCGAGAGCATGTGCCCAAACTCCCTGGCACTGTTACCGAGAGCATGTCCGTGTGTCAGAGCAGTGCCGTAACTTTATCACTTACCGAGAGCATGTTATTTTAGTCACTTGCCGAATACTTACCCATTTCCCGCTCGAACTGAGCCGCTGTACCCAAGAGCTTCGGCCGTGGAAATCAGTGCGAGTCACTCCTGCCGATTAGATAATCCTGTTGGACGCTGATTACAAACGGCTTAATACTTGATTACGAAGGCTGATGCTAAGTAGCTTTCTCCCCTCCCCCCCTCATCCCCCCCTGATCTTCCCTTCCCATCCCCTAGCTTCTTCCCTCCCCCTCCCCCCCATCCATCTTCCCCCCCCATCCCCGCCTGATCTTCCCTTCCCATCCCCTAGATTCTTCCCTCCCTCCTCCCTCCCCCCCATCCATCTTCCCCCCACCCCCCATCTCAGCACGAGGCAAAGGTAGGTAGGTACGACACCAAATTCATTTCTGAAGGTGTATGTAATTATATTTAATTATGCGATGTAAAGAAATCTCGTTAGCCTTTCAGAAAAAGAACATGCCCCTCCCCCTCCCCCTCCCTCTTCCCCTTCCCCTTCCCCTCCCTCTTCCCCTCCCTCTTCCCCTCCCCCTTCCCCTTCCCCTTCCCCTTCCCCTTCCCCTTCCCCTTTTTCCCCTCTGCCTATTCACCCCGTCCTATGCCATTTTTTTCTCTCTTTCTCTTGTTATGACCGATGAGAAGGGAGATGAAAAGTAAGAAAAGGATGAGAACGAGAGAGAGAGAGAGAGAGAGAGAGAGAGAGAGAGAGAGAGAGAGAGAGAGAGAGAGAGAGAGAGAGAGAGAGGAAGAGATGAGAGAGAGAGAGAGAGAGAGAGAGAGAGAGAGAGAGAGAGAGAGAGAGAGAGAGAAGCAGAGAGAGAGAGAGAGAGACAACGAGAAAGAGAGAGAGAGAACGAGAGAGAGAGACAACGAGAAAGAGAGAGAATCCACGTTCGGGAGATACAAGAATGAGATAAAGGTGAACATGTGCGTGTATGTGTGTGTGCGTGCGTGTATGTGTGTGTGTGTGGGGGGGGGTGTCTTAGGTACTTCGAAAAGGCATGTCTCGGTACCTTTTCCCTCACGCCATCGGTCACCCTAAGACCCTCCCTCACTGACTCCTCCGTCACGCGCCGCTCTCGCTCACTCTTCGTCACGCTCTTTCACCCTTCCCCCCCAGACCCCAACCCCCAACCCCCCAACCCCCCACCACCCCCAACTCTTTCACCCTTGTGATGAACCTCCCGTTACGCCCAGTAGTGTCAGTTCTAACTCCTCTTCCTCCCGCGCCTTTCTACCTGTTTCTTGCCGCCCCCCACCCCCCTTCCCCTTACCCCTGTCGTTGTTTGCCTCCCCCTCCCCCCCCCGAACGCCCCCCGATCTCCACATACTCGTAGATACCTCCTCCTCCCCCCCTAAATGCCCCGCTCCACCCCCACGCCCGTAGCTACTCAAACGCCTTCTCCACGCCCCTCTCCCCCCCCCCCTCCCTCAAACGCTTCCTCCCCTCCCCTCCTCCCCCCTCCCTCAAACACCTCCTCCTTACCCCCTCCCTCAACACCTCCCTCAACGCCTCACCCCCCCTCCCTCCCTTCCCCGCCCACTTCCCGACGCCCGTGACTAAACACCTCATGATTCTCCCTTTTACACGACAGCTCGGGCTACCACGACGCCCATAAGAGCCACGGTGTTCACGGTCGTTTAAACCACGAGGATCCCCCTTTATGTGTTCGTACGTTTTTTTCTTTTTCTTTTTCTTTTTCTTTTTCTTTTTTTGTGTGTGGTTGTCGTTTTGTTTCGTTTCATTTGATGCTTTGTTCTAAGTTTTCTTGTTATTTTTTTCTGCGTTCTTTGTGTTTTTAGTGTTTTATTTTTATTATTTTTTTTTTATTTATGTGTTATTTATTTAGCTCGTTAGTTTCTCTTCACATTTTCTCATTCTTGTTGTTTCTTTGTCCTCCTCCTCCTCCTTCTACTTCTCCTCTTTCTCCTATTCCTCACTCTTCCTCCTCTTCACACCTCATCCTCACTCTTCACCTTCATCCTCTTCCATGCAATCATCAACTTCTCTTCCTCTTCTTCCTCTCATCGCTCTTTTCCTCCTCTTCCTCCTCCTCCTCCTCCTCCTCCTCCTCCTCCTCCTCCTCCTCCTCCCATCACACCTCCCCTCCTCCTCCTCCTCCTCCTCCCATCACACCTCCCCTCCTCCTTCTCTTCCTCCTTCCTCCTCTCAGCGCTCCTCCCTTCTCTTCCTCCTCTTCATCCTCCCATCGCTCCTCTCCTCCTCCTCCTCTTCCTCCTTGCGACACGCCAGGATAATGACAGCGCCGAAGGGGGTCGTAAGCCCCGAGTGTGAATTGACAGCTGATATCATTAGGTGCTGTTATGCGAAAAGCTAATTGTTATGGTTCAAAGGGAGAGGGAGGGAAGAGGAGACGGATAGAGAGGCAGGCAAGCAGGCAGGCAGGGAAGCAGGCAGGCAGGCAGTTGGGTGGGGAGGGTGAGAGGAAGGGAGGGAGGCAGGCAGGCAGACAGTTGGGTGGGGAAGGTAAGAGGAAGGGAGGGAGGCAGGCAGGTAGGCATGCATGCAGGCAGACAGTTGGGTGGGGAGGGAGGAAGGGAGACAGGCAGGCAGACAGTTGGGTGGGGAGGAAAGGAGGGAGGGAGGCAGACAGACAGACAGACAGACAGGCAGGTAGATAGGCAGAGAGACAGACAGACGAAAACAGACATTAACAGACACAAAAATAGAAATAGGGACGGAGAGAAGGAGACCCAAGAAAGAGAAAGAAAGAGAGAGAGAGAGAGAGAAGAGGGAGAATATCCACCGAGATCCGCCCCCCTCCCCCCCTCCTCCCCGGCCCAGGAGGAAGAGGACACCCGGTATGGATCAGGGCAAAGGAAAAGTGATAAGGGATTAGGAAGAATAAAGAAGAATCCACGGGCGGGTCGATGGAATGAGGAAACAGGAGGCAATCGGAGAAAAGGGGGAAAGAAGGAGGAGAAGGAAGAGGAGAGGAAGGAAAAGGGAGTGTGAAGGGGTGAGGGATGAATGGAGGGAGAGAGAGAGAGAGGAGGAGGAGGAGGAGGAGGAGGAGGAGGAGGAGGAGGAGGAGGAGGAGGAGGAGGAGGAGGAGGAGGAGGAGGAGGGAAGGAAGAGAAAAAGAGAAAGAGAAAAAGGAAGAAAGGTGAAGAAACAGAGGAGAGAAAGTAAAGGTGGGAGAAACAAATACGAAAGAAAAGAGAGAGAGAGAGAGAGAGAGAGAGAGAGAGAGAGAGAGAGAGAGAGAGAGAGAGGAGAGAGAGAGAGAGAGAGAGAGAGAGAGAGGGGAGGCTGACCATGGCCGGGGGAGCTTACCTGCGCGGCGTGATGGCATGGGCGCCGCTCCTCTCCAAAAACCCTCGTCTGTCATGGTAGCTGCCACGCCCCCCTCCCCGTCCCCCTCCCCCTCGGCGCCTAACAGTAGCAAGTTTTCCACTCGGCTGCTTTCTCGAGTTTATTGTGGGTTTTGGGAAAGATATTTTGAAATTTTTCCTCGTTTCTCTCTCTCTCTCTCTTTTTCTTTTCTTTTTTTTCTTTTTGTCTTTTTCCTTTTTTTTTGGGGGGGGCGAGGGAAATTAGGTTGGGTTTTGGAGAGGGGGAAGGGAGGGTTTGAATGGAAAGGGAAGAGGAAAAAGGAAGAGAATAGAAAGGGAAGGGAAGGAAAGGGAGGAGCAGGGAGAGGGAAGGAAAGAAAACGAAGGAGAATGAAAGAAAAAGAGAAAGCAAGAGAGGAAAGACATATTTCGCTGCAAAGGAGAAAACGAATTCACAGAGAGAGAGAGAGAGAGAGAGAGAGAGAGAGAGAGAGAGAGAGAGAGAGAGAGAGAGAGAGAGAGAGAGAGAAAGAGAGAGAGTGAGAAAGATAGAGAGAGAGAGGGAGGGAAAGGCAGAGAGAGAGAGGGAAAGAGAGAGAGAGAAAGAAAGAGAGAGATAGAAAGAGAGAGAGAGAGAGAAAGAGAGAGAGTGAGAAAGACAGAGAGAGAGAGGGAGGGAAAGGCAGAGAGAGAGAGAGAAAGAGAGCGAGAGAGAGAGAGAGAGAGAGAGAGAGAGAGAGAATAAATGGAAAAAATAAATGGAAAGAAAGAGTGAAATCGCGGCCATTCTTCTACAGGACCGCGACGCGACTCATCATCATCGTCATTATCCAAATTGCAGTTGATATTGGCAGTTGCAATGGGCAGGGAAGGGGGGAGGGGCGCTGTCTCGTTTCCCGCCATTGTATCGTGTAAAGGAATCGTATTCATTCGGGTAATTAACTCATTTTTTTTTCTCTCGTTTCTCTTTCTTTTTTCAGTTTTTATCTTTTTTGTTTTTGTTTTGTTTTGTTTCTTTTTTTTCTTATTCTGCTTTTTGTTTTGTTTTGTTTCCTTTTTTCTTTTTTTTGTTTCCTTTTTTCTTTCTTTGTTTTTCTTTGGTATGTTTCCATCTTTCTTTCTTTTTCTATTGTGTTTTTTCTGATTTTTTTCTATTTTTTTCTACATTTGAAATCACATAGACTTTCTGGAGGAAAATTTTATTTGCGAGTCTGTGAAAGGATTGTAATAGCGG